TTAAGTAAGGCGCCAGTGAAGAAACAAATAAAGACTAAATATATTCATTTTGATGCTTGAAATTTCGTTACATGTTTCAGATTTTACGCCTAGTTGTACTCGCATTATAGAACGACCCACCAATAACACTGCCCGATGGTGTATCCTGAATATTATAAGTCATGATTGATGGAAGCAGCAAAGGCTGGAACCAAAACTAGCTTAAGACGAACAATGTCTTGTTGCTATCTATTGCTATCATACCTGAGATTAAAAAGTCATCAAGTTCGACTTGTGTGACATCATGTCCTAATTTCGTAATTTTGTGTTCGGACACGCAAATTTTCATAGCTGTTTTCAGTAATGTTTGAACAAAGCTCGACACGTTATACCATGCATTTTTACCATTTTTGTATGTATCTATATCCTAGAGCAGAGAAAAATAGGAGAAATCAAAGTTTTAGAATCGACTTTAATTTCTGAGTTAAACTGGATAGATTAGAAGGCCACCCTATAACAGCAGCTCATCCTAAGTGAAAGTCAAACTCCGAGCACTTAATTTAAGGAACAGGACAGAAACATGTCTTGGTTAAGACCGTACAAGTTTCAAGGTAATCATTGTCCCTCAACAGAGCCCTTTGAAAAAGCAGATCCTTATAGCCGCCCACCATTAAGTCTTTGATTTGCTGGGCACAGTAGAAGGTCAATAGGCTTCTATCCTGGATGGGGGTTTAGTGTAAAGGAATTCTATCCTTTAGTGAGTTTATTATTCAATAGACAGATTAATATATGCTGTACAATGTGTATTTATAGTGCAGCAAGCAAAAGGAGAGTGATAGAAATATTAATAAGAGAGAGATATTGAACATGTACAAAGTGAGAGTGAATGGCTATATCACGCAATGAGAGAGAGAGAGAGATGAATTGTGGTCGGAAAAGAGTGATAATGATTAGCCAGTGGAGGAATAGGTCATATTTTGTTACATTTAGCAGGTTCATTTACCTTGGATACGAAGTCTGGATAGACTGAACTAATCGGCTGTAAGATGTACATCGAAGGAACTCTATTTGTATCTAACTTATACCATGTAGCTAGAATATCAGCAAACGGGGTGCCATAGGAATCAGTATACTCGATCGATAGATTATGTGAGGCAATCGTTTGACGTAGTAAATCAAAAACGTCTTCATTGATTTCATCGGCAATCGGACGCCATCCATATCGATGACTGAGTAGTAACTAAGTAGAATAGGAATATGCTTTAAGTTAACATAAAGAACCTGATAAAAAACATACTATGAAGTTTGTTGCAACAGAATACTTTTTACAGAAGGCGAGCTCTTTAAGACAATCATGAACTCCTCGATGATTATCAGCAGCTTCCACTGGAATTCCCCATCTCATATCAGCGTACTAAATGAAGTAAAAGCCTGGATAATAAGGCATGCGTTTAAAACGTTTCCACCACCAAGTACCTGAAATTCTAAACCATACTGATTTCGACAGTAAGTGCGCAATTTTGGAAATACATTTATAATCAATGAATCACGTTCTGCTTCCGTATCTTGAATTTTTAAGAAGTATTTCACACAACAACACACAGAAAAATCAGAAACTACCGATAAACTCACCTAAAAACGTGGAGCTTATAAAAACCCGAACCATTTTTGAATGAAATATCGGCAGACCATCATATTTTCCTTGAAGAATTCTACGATAATTTGCATTATTTATACTTGACACTATCTGTATAGGCAGATCGGAATCAATCGTCTTGCTGACTATAATAAAAATCAAACAAACATGCGGATTTTTAATCGTGGGCAAGATGTATGGTATCGAAAATGCTACTGTCACCCGCTCTAAAATAAAAAAAGTATTTGGCCAACGGTATCTGATTACTATACTGTCTAGAGATGTGCAGTATCAAGCTTGTTAGTCCCGGTACCATAACCAAAATTCCTTTTAGTTAACACACGTTAAAAACCCTTTTTATGAGTTAAAAGACGTATCACAATGCGTTAACTTCGATTAAGAACGCGCTTCGCTACGTCTGTGATCAGAAAACAAATCGTGAATGCGCGTAAACGCATCCTGTTAAGCTGCGTTTTGGAGGTCAAAAGGTTCATCTGCGCTTGGTCACCCACGTATCCAAAATAGTCCTAGCTCAAGTCACATCAAACATTCTGTTTTTGGTTTTTTCAACGGGAAAATGAAAATTCTCTTTTACTTCTTTGCTTTTGCGACCTTTACGGGAAACCTTTTTTAACCGAAGTTAGTAAGTTTTTCGCATTCTTATTCACTGCTGACAGCTTTTGAAGACGCTTGTTAAGGTTTGATACCACATCATGAAATTTTAAGAGGGTCATAGTCCGGCATATCTCTTTCTCCATTTTAACAATACTATTATCGAATGCCAGATCTAGTTCTGTTTTGTCATGTGTGAACGAAAGTTTCAAGTATTACAGATTTCTTCTTTAAAGAAAAACTTGCTGGATTTGACCTACCGTTAGTGTGTGGTTGTGATTCACTCGATGTTGTTGTTATTGACATTGGTTCAGCCCTTGCTTCGTTGCTCACTTTTGGGACGATGCGAAAACAGTATTCAAGACGAAAGAAGACTAGGATGGGCTGCAGTCCGTTATTCACAATCGTTTCATTACTATATTAACGGCAATCGAAGGCTGCATTTTTTGTTCCACATTCGACTCCCTTGCGCTTGGTTTTTGCAAACCGAAAGAGAATGCTTGAATTATCAGAAGAAAAGAGAAACAGAACATAATGGTAAAAAGTTGTTATTCGTTTTTTTCTCCATTTCTTGAAGAGATGAAAGCTTTTTTTTTGTGTATGTATCATTCGTTTGTCACGTGTTGAATGTGCTTATTATAAAAACATATCAGTCTCTTAACAAATGTTCTACACTAATGTATTAAATAGAATAATCTTTCATTGGTAACCGTCACTAAGAACTGGAGCAATGGAATATTTGAATGAATACTAGAATCAATTAACATTATTCTACAGTCAGCTAGAGCAAAGAATTGTGAATCAAATAGAACCTCAAACCCTCTTTTGTCCACAAATTTGGACAAAAAGAAAAATAACGTTTTCGAAAATCTGAGCATCATAGCTTTGTTCAGAAATCGATTACTGATACTTTCTGAAACCTATTGAGATCGACATCTGGCCCCTTTACAGTCCCGATCATTTTCCTAAGGCGTGAAATGCACGGTTTTTTTCTGTGATCCAAAACTTTCTTTTGATCAGATATGAGTCAGTTAATTTTTCCTCCCTCGAACACTACATCGACTGACATTTTGACACGAAGTTTCTTGTTCTATCCCATTTAGTTTCAACGAAGTAATATACCCTCACCCCTCACGTTAAAAGTGCCGTTTCAAAAAATCGATAAGTAGGGACGGATGATGAAGAACTAGCGTTGAAAACAGTTCCTGGTTATAGTTTTGATCTAAAAACAATAGTTTTTGAGTGTGATAAAGGCGGCAAAATAGACATGGAACTGAATAATGAAGCAGAGGAAGAAAAAAACGAAACTGCTGCCGTTCAGAAAAAAAAACGACTGAGTTAAAGCAAACAACACTTAAAAATGTTTTAATGGGAAACGAAATTGTTACCAGCCATTGAAATACTAAAAGTCTTTTGAAATATCTTAAAATAATTGTTTTCCATTTGTTTTTATGCTGTTGTTGTCAGAATATTTTTGCAAAGACAAAAAAAGAACACTTACCTTGGGCATTTGTAATTAATTTAGACGAATAAAGTTGAGCGTTTGCTAATTATTATTCTAGAAAGTATGTAGATCAGTGAATTGTGGTTTCTCAAGTCACATGCAAAAAAGTCACTTTTGATAGGGTTCCCATTTTTTCACATTAAGCGACTTTTTCTAACTTTTAAGTTACATTAGTCTCACTTTTTTCACTTTGTTTGTCAGTTAACAGTAACTTTGTTAAAAAAAGTTTTCACTTAAAAGTGGCTTTTCTCCTTGGGTTTCTCTTTAAGCGGCCACGATGGTAATGAATTACTTTAACAATCTGACTAAGTTAATAATTTAGCAGAAACTTCAAAAGTTCAACTCTATGTGAAAACCAAAAGGAGTCTATCTTTATGTCCCTACTGTGAAGAGCAAAACTTAAAATTATGTGTGCATGATATTACCTTTCAGTCTTGAAAAGAAAACGAATTAGGAGTTCTCAAGTGTGTGCGTTCGTATATAAGCTAATCAGATTGGTAACAAAATTTTCTTTTCTCAGTTCGCCTTGTTCGGTTTTTCGCGTGGTATAAGAAACAAAAATTACTTCATTCCTTATTTCTACTCTTATTTTTCTCTTTCAACACGACAAAAAAGGGTACACATATGAAATAAAAAATCTTTCTTTCGATCTGTCAACAGAGACGCTCAGTGTTTCGAATGTCTTCCATTCATTAAAATTATGTTTATGTTACAAGCAAAAGTTAAAATTCAGACAAATCCCGAATTTATCTCGACAAAATTAGAATCCTTAGTTTGACTAACTCAGGCAACGTTAGGATTTAGGCAAAAGTGAAATTAGAATCACTAAAACAGAATTTATCACTCATAAAGCCACAAAATCGCTGTTATATCCTAAAATTATTTACAATATTTCCTCAAGCATTTTCGACTACAATTTTTTTTATTTTCACAGTATATAGAGAAATGTTTGATATATTTTCTGTAGAGAATGAAATGATGAATCTTTTAAAGGGGCAATAGTCTCTCATTTAGATTTTCCTTGTACCTTTCCAGTTTATAGAGGATACATCGAAGTATGGATCCTAAAGTTTTTTCGGCTTACTCTCATTATTTGGCTAAGAATTAAGTTCATTATTTGAAAAAAATGCTGTTAAATTTTTGAGCACGATGCTAACATCAGTTTCTCAGAAAACCCAGACAGTAAAGGGACACCTCCTATATCCTGATCGGGATATATATCCAGGATGATTTGCGAACGATAAGCTTTCGGATTTTTCCTCGAATGTTACACCATATTAACCTGATCAGGAGCCTGATGTTTTATAGGTTTACGTCCTGAAACTACACAAAATATACTGAAACCGTGTTTTAATGCTTGTGAAACGAAAAAATTTCGCTCCAAAGTGGTCTAGTTTCAGAATCTGGAAAGCGCCGTCTACCCCTTTTCGTTCAAAAATTCTTCAAAACCAAAAAATAGTTGCTGGGTGCTTGATGCACTTTTGATCAACCACAATAGAATCCGATGTAGTTTTTCGAGCTCTTTCTAATGGTGACGTCAATTTGACCCCAAAATGTCGTCATTCTCCCCTTAATCGTTTTTACGACGAAATTTCGTGTTTTATATCCCGATCGGGATACTACTTTTTTTCTATATCCTGATCGGGATAAAGACTCAGAATTTGATGCTGATCACGAATATCGGGTCAAAAATCGGAGAATGTGAAGTTTTGGGCGAGAAAAATTCGAAAAACTGAAGGATGCTCCTTCACGCTCCGGGTTATGGTTCTCTTTCCAG